TATCAGAAAGAGGGCCTGGGCATTGCAAAAATTATTAGGGGGTGAGAATAAACAGAAACCCCAGGTCCAATAACAAGAGGGCCCAGGCGCCTGTTGGATCTGCAAAACAAAGGTTAGAAAAAATAAAAATTTGTTTCCTGTCTGGGTCGAACCCAGGACCTGGAAGAGGAGTGCCCTAAGAATGGTTTTCTTCGATTGAGGTACCTAAGCTAGCATGTAAGATGTTAGATCTACTCAAAACATCAATAGTAATATGAATGCATGCATAAAACTGATTTAAATTACATAATTTAGAGGATTTGAGATTCAAAATTTTACCAAAAACCGTAGGATGGTTATGAGGAGGATCTGAGACGTGCAAGGCTTGAACCTGGGCTCTGGAGGACTCTTGGGAAACTCAGGAGAGGATTGATGATTTTGGTTTGGGTTGATAGCGCCTGGAAGTGAAGTTACAGATTTTGTAACTTTTTGATTTTTTTGTGAATTTTAAGAAGACTTTTAGAGAGATTTTTGAAGAGGAATTTAGTGCTCCCTTTGGCTTGTAATGTTATGTATTTATAGAGGGAAGATATGAGTGAACAAATATGGTAAAGAATCAATGCATTCATGGCCTTAGAGACAAGGATAAAACACATTGAAAAATGTCCATATTTGTGATATCTTTGCAAGTTTGGTCACTTGCATGAACCTGGTCCCTTTGGATGTATCTTGCACAAAAATATGAGCCTTCTAATAGATCATATCAAATCCAAATGTCATGGCCCATTATTCTTTGTATTTTTATTTAATTTATTTGATTTAATTCATATTTAAATGAATAAAAATTCAAATAAATAGAAATAAAAATCAAAATAGTGCATGGTTAGGTTTAGAGTTCCCTGGGTATGTCATAAACATGTTTAAACCCTAAATGTTAGGTCCATTAACTTAAAAATACAATTTTCTCAAAGTTGACTTCATGAATTTTTTCACAAATTTGCCCAACTTGTGCAAACCATAACTTGCTCAATTTTCATCTTTTGAAGATGATCTTTGACTTTTTGGAAAGCCCAAGATTTCCTATAAAATATATATGTTCATAATAGTTTCTTTTGAAGACATTATCTTGATGTAAGTTGTCTTGACAAAAAGTGTCTTTTGTTGACTTTTTGAAAATGACCTGTAATGTATGAACTCATATCTTCTAAATGATGAATTTCTTGAGCTTGAGGATAAAAGAAAAGTTGTGGAGAATTGGATTATCTTCAAAGTGAGCTTTTTTTGGGGGAAAATGGATGAAATATATGAAAGTTATGCCTGGTCAAAGTTCAGTTGACTTTTCCTTTAGAAACCCCAATTTAACAATTCTTGACTTTTGATAAATTAAGAGCATTCCTTGAGGAATCATGATCAACCCTTGATCAAATGATGGATATCATTTCAAAATATTGATGTTGACCAAAAATATTGAAGTTTGACTGTATATTGGCCACAATTAACTTTTGACCTAGTATAATTGATTTTCAAACACTTGAGCAGTTGATTGAGCAAACTTCTAGTGTAAGGCATGAAATTTGGCATGGACAATCTTGAAGACATATTAGGACCTTTGGAGCTCACACATATTTGTGAAAAGTGAAACCCTAGTTGAAAGGCCATTGCTTAGAAGGAGAATTTGTCTGATCAATTCTAGGTCAATTTTGAGCAATTGAAGACCTTAATGAACATGTCTTGAGTAAATTGGGAGGGAAATTTTGAGATACAAAACCATCATCAGAAGCTAATTTTAATCATCAAAAGCATATTCATTATCTAGAGAATTTTTTAGAGCTTCTCTGATTACTAAACCTTCAAAACATGGTTCCATAGAAAGAACTAGAACATGTGTAGCTCCAAGTCTAGCAAAAACAGCTAGATCCCAGAGCATGATCATGAACCCACTTCCAAGTCAAGTAAATAATCAAACTCATCTAGTGATTAAGGATACCCACAAAACTCAAGTAAAAAAAATCCTTAAAAAGCTCAAAAACATCTAAGGTGGAACATATAAGAGGTGTAAGAATACCCACCAAACTAATCACCTTGTCCAAGAGAGAGGAAATAACCTAATAGTCGATGAACAAGTGATCCATAAATTCCACCTACCTTAGACAAACTGACACTCCACGCTACTTTCAACAAACACAATTTGGCGTCTTAGAATATTTTCATGGTCAAAAATCTATGTGTAGTAGCTGCAAAGAAAAGACTACTGATTTAGAAGGTTTTGAGCTCTTTAAAACCCTACATAACCCCCAGGTCACCCTGGACGATCTACTTTCCTCATCAGCTACCTAAAAGGAAAGCCTAACATATGAATACCTCACCGAGAAACCTTCTGTGGTATTAGGGATCCACACCCATACATCTACTTGACGATGTTGAACCACTCCAGCTATATAACTAAATAAATACACCAAAAGTTGTTCCTTATAGACAAGGGTGAGGGTCTCCACATAAAGTCTCAAACTAAAACGACTTTTTCCTCATTCCCCACAAACCCACCACAAAAGGTTTTTGCTCAGATAAGAGGAAGAACCTCTCGATAGAAACACACAACAGGGTCACCCCCACTAAAATATTATGTTAGAAACTAGTTTTCAAACCATCCCTAACCATGTTTGTACAAGAAGAGTTGAACCAATCCAGTTAGTAATCAGGTGTGGAACCAAGAAGGGAGACCCGTCTCCATCAATGAGAAACCTTCCATAAGCTCCATATCTTGAAGAAACAATATCCTTCAATAGAGACGACTTATCCTAAAGAATTTTACACCTTTATTTTCTTAAGAAAGCCATCTTCAAAGGCTTTAGATCATTAACCCTCTAAATCATCAACCCTCTTGGTCTTGCACACATCATTCCACTTTACCCAATGTAATTTAGTCCCCCTTTTTGATCCACCATAAAGGAACCACCTTTGCAGTCCAACTAACCTCTTCCAAACTTTAACAAAAATCTTTAAGACAAACATAAATAAAACAGGAATCGAGTTCAAAATAGAATTCAGGAGGACACCCCTAGGGAGACCCATAAACCTACTCCTTCAATAAGTAAGTGTAGTGGACACCACATTGACCAAAGGCTCCCAACTCTATTTCTTCATTGAGTTAACATCGACCAGAAGCCCTAAATACTTGACAGGAAAGTTATATGATCTAAAATGCAAGAAACCCTCTGCCAAGTCCAAAAATTTCCTGTCCACACTAACCCTATAGATACAACTCTTAGAGAACTTAACCATATGGCTAGAAGCAAGCTCAAAGATAATAAGAATCAGATTAATAGTCAAAATATTATCGAGCGACAGGATCCCAATAATAACATTATCATCGATATAATAGAGGTGTAACACCTCTAAACTTTCAAAGCCAACCTTAAGCGCACAAGCAATCCAACTCAAACTGCCATCTTCAAAGAGGCACTAAGACCCTCCACCTTTAAAAGGAAGATAAAAGGATCAAAATGTTCCCCTTGATTGAGACAAATTTAGATACTTATCTCCTCCTTCGGGAAGTCATTAACCAAAATTGAATAGCTACTTGGAAAAATGACGGCTCACATATATCCACACCCACTACCTCACGTCGAACTAAAACCTTTTCAACATGTAGTCCAAGAAAGACCAACTGATTGAGTTATAAGCTTTCTCAAAGTCGAACTTAAACACAAAGCACTCCCTCTTGGAGGCTTTGGCCAAATCTTTCACTTCATTGAAGCCAACCACTCCTTCAGTCAAAATCCTACCCTTCCTACCTAGCCACTAAGAATTTATCCACCAACTTATATAGAGAATCAACGAGAGAAATAAGTCTTAAATCATTAAGCTTCAACACATAACCCACCTTCAGGATAAGAGCTACGTAAAAAGATGTCAATTTTTTTGGGAGAATATGGTCGAACATATCATATATCTTCACCTTTAATAACTCCAAAAACATTCTGTAAAAAGAAAAATAAAAGCCATTCTCACTCAAACATTTACATCTATCTAAACCTATAATCGCCTCATCTACTTTAGAGGGGACAAACTTGACAAATAGCCTATTTGTCTTCTTAGGCAAATGCAAAGTCGCATTAAGTTTTTGGAGGTCATGCGTATGTTAACCACGATTTAGTTGTGACATAACAAACATAGGCCCTATTTTGTCATATTTTAACAGTGATAAATATTTTATGAGGTCTTTTTAACCACGATTTAATCTTATTAAATTTTAGACCCTGTAATGTTGTTCGACTTGTATGCCCTCAAAGACGTTTGTGTACAAATGACAAGGTATCATAATCTCATAAGAAAGAGGCTTATAATCCCATAGTCAAAAAATTCTTAAAATACTTGGAAACCTCCCTACAAACCTCAACATCCTCCTCCACCCACCCATCCGCAACCCTAAAAGAAGTCAAGCTCCTACTCCTTTACCTCATACAAGCATGAAAATAATCTGCATTAGCATCTCATTCTTTTTCTAAACATCCCTCAATGTTTTGATAGGGTTGACAATGTACTTAATCTAAAATTAATTTTTTTTTCCAACAATAACGATCATATTTCTAACTATAATTATGCAACTTCTAGCATATTTTAACAATAAAGAAGATTAACACACCCGTACAATAGTAAGCAAAAGGCTACACTCCTCTCCTTAAAAGAAAATTAGAGTTTCATCTTCCAATTATAGAAATTATTCTTGTTAGCTCCATTTCTTTAGTTTAACAAAATAAAAAGTATATTAAATTATGGGAGGATTAAAGTAGAATATGGAAAATCCTTGAGAAAAATATGATAAATGTATTTTAAACTACTTCACAGCCTGTTTGTTTTGCATGTTTTCATGACATGATCATATACAAAGAAGTATTAGCAACAACAATTTCTTTGTTAATTTTAATGTTACATCTTATTTATTGTCATATATCTTTGACCTATAGATCATATACCATTCTCTTTTATTTATACATTCATATAGTGACTAAATAAATTCTTTAGACACAGAATGCAAACAGTGTCGTTCCACCTGTATAGTTAAAAACAACTCCTAAAGAGACATTATATCCACTACCAACATAAATACATCCATTGCTAATTGACATGCCACCATAAACACTACCTCCAGTTTCAAAAGACCATATAATTTTACCATTTCTTGCATTCATTGCATATATATGTCCCAAATTATCTGTAGATCCACCAAAAAGAACATCATTTGCAACACTAACAGGGCCAATAGGACGACCATTGCTAGGGTTTGCAGTGGACCAAAGAATTTTTCCATTTCTAGCATCCATTGCCACCCATGCTCCAGCTGTTGTATTCACATTTGATGGTAAAAGTTGGAAAGTTTTTCCTTCTGAATTTCCAATGTTGATATAGATTCTATTCTCATCAGTTGCTGCACCCCATATTCCACCTCCTCCTAGTCCACCAGGTCCTGCTTCCTGCATATTTTGAGTTCATAGATAATATAGTCCTGCTTGAAAAAAACGCATTAGAGTAATAAATTTTGTGACGCAGTTAAGATGGAATAGTTCATATCGTTAAATTGTAATTCATAGTGTCAAAACTATGGTGTGTCGAAGAGCATACAGATTAGATTTGTTTTATATTTAAATAGATTTGATTTATATTTAAAATAGGTAGATTTGATTTAGTACTAAAATAGGTATTTTGGGCTTTTATAGTTTTGAGTTTTGAGTTAATAAAAATCTATAAATAGGGAGTAACCCCTAAGTTCGTTATTAAGTCAATTCATTGTAATCACAAAATTTGTATCTGCAAGTGATTAATAAAGTTTTTTACAGTTTGTGGACAGAGAGAAACTCAGCAGAAAACAACTGTCTTCTTTCTTTTCTTTTCTCATAATTCAGTGTCATTTTGTGATGATATCAATCTTATTCATCAAGATTAATAAAAATTCATCATAGATATTTGATCGATTTCTAACACATATGGACCGCGGTCTGAAAAACCAGATAAAATATAAAGTTTGAATTTTAAAATTAAAACTCAAATGTTGTAAGGGTATTTTTGGCTCGATCATAAAAAAGTCATTGCCCATTAGGATTAGGGTCAGTCCATAAGGGCCACATGTAATCCATTTGATGCATATAACTAAAACATATATTAATGTTTATGTTGTTTCATTCAAAAATGACATTAAAATGTTCCATTTAACTAAATTTTATTTTTTATACTATATTATATTTTTCTATTTTCAATATTACACGTTAATATAATTACATTAATATTTAATTATTTAACATTTTTGTATAAACTTTTCTTGTATTCGTATTCTATTAATTTGTGTTAAGTTAAATATTTGTATATTATTTTAAACAAATTTTAAATTCGTATTATATTTAAGAACACGTTAGACTATTTTTAAACAATGATATAATACATAAATAAATCTAATGTTTAAAAATAATATATTTATATTATAAATATTATGAAATTTTTGTTTAATCTTTTAAATTCCATATTATAAAAGTGTTTTTTAGCTTGATTTTAAAAAATCCATAACATAATAATAATCGGTCTGTTTAGGATCGAATATCCCGTTTTGACAACTATTACAAAAATCAACAATATAAAGAATACACATTACCTTAAACCATAGACGACTTCCGTTGTCACGATCCAATGCCCATGCAAGTCCACTTTTCTGAACTGCAACAACAATATCTTCTTTACTTCCATTTATATGTGTAGTTAACATCATTGGTGCCTCTCCGAAATCAGAATCTGGTATAGGACCTTGAGGTGGACAATTAGTAGTAGACGGATTGATACATGCAACAAACCAAACATCTAAGCCTCCTAATTGATTGAACCATTTGATTTCACCTGAGTCCAAATCTAGTGCTATAATCGAATTGGAGTGGTTTTCTGGTTCAATACACTTGTCTGTTTCAACCGGACTAGTATTATTGTTTTGTGTTTCTTGACACTCAAGTATGTTCTCTGGAGCAGAATAGAGATTTCCAGTGGCAATATAGACATGTTTTCTATAATCGTCAATAGAAGGACTACTTCCCCAAATCACAGCTCCTGCATATTCTCCTTTTTGACCTTTGTTATCAGGCACCCGTTTTGGGGTTGATCTTATGCTCCATGTTTGCATACCTTCTGTTGTATATATCTCCACCATGGTTTATCCACTAAATAACAAGAAAACAATCATTAGAAAATTGATTAGTGTATTAGGACAAAATCTCATTAAAAAAAACTAAATAGAAAAATAATGTGATTATATCTTACATTTGATTCTAGGTGTGTAGCAAAAAGAACTACCACATGAACACAAAAGAAGAGTAAGCAAAGAACAAGGTCTATTCTTCTTGACATTGAATTGAGATTTAAGATGGTTTGGCAATTAGCAATGTGAGAAAAGAAAAATTTACTCGCAATATAAATAGCCTAGAAAATGGTCTCAACTATATACTACTCCAAACTTAAAAATAAGAAAAAGGAAAACAAATTATGTCTAAAAGCATTTTCCAATTCAAATGGGATAGGAGGATATCTAATTCATTGACTTTTTTTGGTAAATTCTTTTATAGCAATTTAAGTGAATTTAAGTGTTTTGACATGTCAATATATTTTAGCATTCAGATTCTGCCTAACCTACAAAAACGCTCATTAGAGATCAAGACAAGTGATTGAATTGTTTTTTTTTTTTTTTTTGTTAAACATGTTTTTGGTCTCTCCAAAATGTTTAATATTTAATTTTTAGTTCCTCTAATTTTTTTTTAAAAAAAATGTTTCTAAAATTTTAATTTTAACTTTTGCCTTCTCCTGCTATTTAGCGGCGATTTTTAAAACCTATCGATAAAATTACTGACGGTCTTAGCAGAGATTTTTTATTTAGAGACGGTTTTGGCATGAAGGATTTTAATTTTAACTTTTGCCTTCTCCTGCTATTTAGCGGCGATTTTTAAAACCTATCGATAAAATTACTGACGGTCTTAGCAGAGATTTTTTATTTAGCAACGGTTTTGACATGAAGGATTGTAACGATAAAAAATACAACGGAGATCGAACTATTAATTAACTCGACTCACAAAAGTAAGAGTCGCCACCGCGCTTTATTATTTCCAAGAGAAAAGGGAAAAGAGCGAAGTAAAACCCTTAAATATGCAATGTAAAATAATACTTAAAAGTAATGAAAATATAATGCGTTTTTGAAAGGAGATCTAGATTTCGGGGTTGGTTATGCAATGGGAAGGTATTAGCACCCAATGCATCTGCGGTACTCTGCAGGAACCTTTTGAAATATTTGTTTTTGGTTTAAATTGTTTGTTTGATTAAAATGGTTTGTTTGGCTAAAAATGAGTATGAACGAGATTTTGAAGATACGACGACCTAGTATCGAAGTTTTGACTTAAAAGATGTGAGTTTGAAAATTGAATCTTTTAGGAAAATCGACTTAAGTTTGGCAAAATAGTAAATAGAAAAAAAATGAATGGCGGTATTTGCACAATCGTATGATATATTTTTGATGACATAAAGTCAACAAAATTAAAATATTTCCCTTGGAATTGAGACGGACGAAAGACATAAAGATTAAACGATCGCAAATAAAGTTAATTAGAGCGACAATTGAATAATTAAATAAATAACGAGAATTAAATTACTAGCATGCATTTTCAAACAAAAATTAAATAAAAGATTAGTAGCATGTTGACAAAAATTAAATAGAAGATAAATTTATAATAACATATTTTTTATGTTTTGTAATTAAATAATAATTATGTAATAAACTAAACTATATATAATCCAGTTTTAATAGAATTGAAAGAAAAAGCAAAAGAGCAAAAAAAAAATAGAAAAATGCCCCCACCAAGGATTGAACTCAGCCTTTTTAGGTTATAAGTAAAATGCTTTGCCAACTGTACTAGGATGTTATTCGTTTATTATTATGAATCTATTAATACGTAAAGGTAAAACGGTAATAGATTGGGCCAGCAGCCCAATGGACTGACCCGGTTGACATGAAGGGAACAGAGAAAAATAAACTTATAACCCTAATATAATAAGGCACCACGGTACTGCAGGTCATTGTTTTCAATGGTTAAGTCATGGATTAATTTGCACATATGATTTATGCTTTATTTTAGAAATCTATTAATGCGAAAGCTGTACAAATATAAAAAGATTATTATATTTCTTTATTGTTATTATTTTTATTACCATTTTTCAGAAAAAGTGAAAAGTAAAAACAGTATGGGGACAAAATAACATTTTTATTCATGATTGGCAATACTTGAAACAAAAGAGCTCAAACATCTTCTCTTTTGCCTTAGGCGGAGCAAAAGGATTTATTTTCAACAAAGTCCGACACAAATACTCTTTCGCCTTGGGCAGAGAGAATGGGATTTTTTCAAAATAAAACAAAGCATTACTCAGAAATGTGCATCACAATAGGAATATCAACAGCAGTACAGTTTTGGCAAACCACTCCATGCACTACAAATTCGGGTAAATACTCTTCAGAATCGTCTTCTATTATAGCATCAACTTTGGGCGGAGTCGAATGTATAAAACTTGCGCTTCAGAAAACTTCTTGTATCGGACGGGTAACTGTATCTTGCTTAGCTCATGCGGATACGGGATAAAAACCAAGACCTTCTCCAAACTTGTTCTTAGGTAGAGTCAACACCTGACCCTAACCTTCAGCTAAAGCACTCTCAACCACTCGTCGTGCATCTTCAAGAGAAGAAATAGATGCCCCTTGCTTCTTCACTTCATTATTAGCGACAAATAGAGCTTGGAATTAGGTTCCAACATCCTCATCAGCATCAATATAAGAGAAAGATGGAAAGTGGCTTACCACCATAGCCTGTTCTCCACCAATGGTTACCAGCTTTCCATTCTTCACAAACTTCAATCTTTGATGGAGCGTGGAAGTGACTGCCCCTGCATCATTTATCCATGGGTGACCCAATAGGAAACTGTAGGCAGCATGAATATCCATCACTTGAAAAGTAATCTGAAAAGTATGAGGACCAATTGTTATAGGGAGATCCACTTCACCGATGACAGTTTTCCTAGAACCATCAAACTCTTTGACAATTACCCCACTAGGTCTCATAGGAGCACCTTGATGTGATAGTCGAGATAATGTAGTTTTGGGTAGTACATTTAATGATGAACCTATATCCACTAGCACGCTTTACAAAGTATCATTTCCACAACTTATTGAGATATGCAAGGCCATATTATGGTTTTTTCCCTCCCCCAGAAGCTCTTCATCACTGAAACCAAGTTTGTTACATGAAGTAATATTTCCCACAATTCCATCAAATTGGTCTACCGTCATATCATGATCTACGAACGTCTGGTCCAAGACCTTCATCAAAGCTTCCCTATGGCACCATAATATATTAGTAAAGCAAGCACATAAATCTTGGAAGGAGTTTGCAATAGTTGGTCCACAATCTTATATTCACTTCTCTTAATGAGTTTCAAAATCTCATCATCATCAGGATGTGGGTTAGGTCCACTGGGTCGACCTACCTCAACTCTTGGTTCAACATTCATCATCGGAATTTCCACTGGTGTATGTTGTTGTACCCCAAAATTTTCCCTCTCACTTATCAATTATTTTCTCACAAAGATCTCTCTTGGTCAAGACTGCACTATGATTGATCAACTCAAGACACCTCCTTAAGCACTGATGACCAAAATTAGGGTTTGAGATTGCACAAGGATAAATGAACTTTCAATTCCTCATATGACTTTCATGGATCATTATGGACCCCAAAGATTACTCATGTCAAGTTTCAAGCCTTGGATCACACTTTTGTCAGTCAATTGAGCAGTTGACCTAGAAATCAGCTATATTGGAGAAAAAGTCAACTATGGCCAATTTACAGTTAAACCTCATAATGTTTGATCCACATTAACATTATAAACTCATATGTATCATTTGATCAAGTTTTGACCATAATTCCTCAAGGAATTTGATCAAATCATCAAAAGGGCAAAATGGTCAAAATTAGGATTTTGACTGAGAAAGGGCAATTTCTGATTTTTGACTTAGAAAATGGTCAATTGGTTTGGAGCATGGTTTCAATAGTTCAATTGCATCCTTTTGACCTAATGTCATGACCTAAAACATTTCTCAAGATCAATTGGATTGATAGTGAATTTTCAGTCAACTGATCAAAAGTCAACTGTACACTGAAAAGTCAAACTTTGACTTTTTGGTCAAAATCCAATGTCAAAGATCACAATTTATCAAAACATGTCAAAATATGAAACTTATTCATCAAGAAATCAAAAAGTCAAGATTTCATTTTGAAAAGTCAAAGTTTTCTAACTTAGAAATTTTTCTAAGTGTTTAAAACTTCATGTTTTTTCATAACTTTAAGCCAAATTTTCACCATGATGCAAGATGATTCAAAAGAAACTTTCAACATGAAATTTGTATATCTCCATGATATCTACAACATTGATTTACATAACTTCTCCTAAAAATTCTTGGATCTCAAGTTATTAATTCATAAAGTCATGGTCTTGAAATTATACACTTAGTGAAATTTTGCCCTAGTTTTAGTCAGGATTTTGACCTAACTTCATGGGACTTTTTCATATAGTTCCAAGGGGAATTTTCAAAGGTGATTCAAAGAGGTGTTGTAGAGAACATTACAAGCTTTCCAAAATGTCAAAGAACTTCTTGAGATCATTTGTGAGCAAGGAGAATCGAAGAGATGAAGTTAGGGTTTTCAAACTTAAATTACAAGCCATTTCATGATGAACAAAAATTCAAATCCAAGCCTAGGCTGCATAATCTTTGCTTTGCAGGCATCAAAATTGTTTGTCACTCCATATTTAAATGTTTACACAGCTGATAGAGCTTTAATCCAAGCACTTGAGCCTTTATCCAAGTTACATTTCCATTTATGGTACAAAGTTGCCATTTCCATTTTGATAAAGCATCACTTTTGCAATTGTCAACTCCTTGAGCTTTGCACTTGTTCTTTCAGCACAAACAACCCCTATAAACCAAAAGAAATGTGTCTAAATCCTCTTTGGACTCAGAACATGCTTATACAACACTTTGAGATTTGTCTTCTCACTTTTCTTCAAAAGCAAGTCATAGAGCCAAAAGGCTAGAAC